ACCGAAATCTTATCGAAATATCAAAAGTCTTTGATCAGTGTCTGTACTGTCGATGTCTGAAAACCAACCCACCGTGATCAGTCATAACGCGTGCTTTGAATGTTTAAGTCCACATTTGTTGCTTACAACGGTATTGCAATATTGACGTAAACTCATCTCAAAAGTTCGATTGTCTAAGACCAGCGACGACGTTGAAACCGTTTCCAAGTGCAAGAATAATATCAAAAGAGGTATTCGTAAAGGCCAACGTTATAAAATACGTATTAGAAAAAAATGTTGAGTTTACTAAAAATGTTGATGAAAACTCATACGAAGAGTGAAAATATTCATACCGGTCTTTCCACCAATGTTGTACGCGATGTACATGTCTGTACTGTTATAGACAGAGCTAGTTTGTACACGAAACTATGTTATCCAACGATATTGGTAGAAAGGATGTTTAGTCGATTTAAATAATCAGTTTACTGCCGAATAGACGACAATACCTGATATCACTTAATAGTTCTAAAACTCTAAATAATTATTGAACCATATTATCTACAACATAATATGACTAAATGCTATTAGTTACATCGGCTGCTATCAAAATAATGGCATTTTAAAGTTCATATTTATCGTCATGACGAGAATATAATTTGTATTTAGAATTTAAATTTCATCACATGTTTTGACCTTTTTCGCTAGTATTTTTGTCGTTTGAGTATATGAATATCCAAGCCGTTACTTAACAAGTATATTTTAAAGAAAATGCGTAGTGTAACCAACGTGGTTCGAGTCTCTGTCATCAACTTGTCAACACTTTAAATAGTTACTAATAGTTAACTAACTTCCGAGCTACTAGTTGAAATTGGATAATTCTTTTTGTTCATTTTGTGATTTTTATTTTGTATTTATCAGAAAACTATCGTGCTCTTAGAATATTGAAATACCATCTTTTAAAATAGAAAAAACATCTTGAAAAAATATTTTCTTGTAATTACTTCAAAATATTTAGATATTATAATTCCAAAAATTTTACAGTTTTTTTCCCCCTAGAAAATTAGGGATTACCTTTAGAATAATCGAAAACATATGCCATAGAAATAGAACCCAAGAAGGAGCAATAACCGTATCATATGACTTGTTGAAAAGGGTGAACTCGATTTTTCTCGTTAGAAAAAAACCGTAGGTAGTTCTCAAAAAGTAATAAAACAACATTATTTTATTTATCATGAATGTTAGTCTGCATGTTATAAATAGATCCGTTAAGCTGCAGGACAGTTTTCAACCGTCTTTGATTTTGATCAGTGTTTATAGCCTATTTTTTCAACCCCTATCAGTAACTGCAAGGGTAGCTCAAACACGATTTTTTTTTCAGCTCAATATTTACTTCTTTTATTTATTTATTTATAGTGCATCCGATGGTCACGCATCGTATTAGGTACTAGAACAATTAACTGTCATACGACACATCTATGGATTTTTGATTCCGTGTGGAGGGGTTATGGAATCCCTGTGTGCAAGTATTCCGGTCGCGTGACAGGTGTCGCACTGTGACGTGATAAGATTACGATTTTCTCTCCGACGACCACTCCGAGACAACGCATCGACGCACGGAGGCCCGCGAAGTCCATCCGCACCTAACCTCAAAAATCGTATAGGAGAACCATCGCAGTGTGCGACCACTGTGCGATATCCTTGTCGAGTGTTAGATAATGCGTTTTTTCTCGAATTCGATCGCTAATCGCAGACGTCACGTGGGTACATCTCGTTAAGTGCAACTGACCGTCTCCGTACGAATCGTTTAACTGGGTATTCGACATATTTATTATACAACGACGTGAACGAATGCGATGGTTTTCGGGAGGCCTCGTACAAATGCACGTACAGCAATCAGCGAACCATCAGATCCGGCTATCGATCTCACTGCCCCCAACTTCCCCCTAATCTACCACCTATAACCTGCTGGGACATCTATGCATACTTATGTACATTACGCGTGTACAAAAGTATTGATTTTGCAACGACGTGTGTTCGTTGAGTTTATGTTTATGCCCGGCATCAACTTTCGGGGCAGTAATAACGATCCGATTGTGTACATCTTTTCTGTGCAGACGTTAAAGCGAATCTAGTTGGTACTTTGGGCATGGTAAAAAGTAAATGATTCATTGAAGTTTTCAAGTACGCCGGGAAAAACGAAAAACAAATTAATGAAAAATGAGAATTTTCACGCAAAACCATTTTTCGACAAAATCAATTTTTCTTGTGAGTTTCTAACTCAAAACCTAATATCCGTATGTATTTTTAATTTTTTCCAAAATCATGTAAGACCATTTTACATGCACGATAATATTTTCAAAATGTTGTAAACTTCCTTAAACTGTTTTTAACCAATTTTTTTTTTGTCAATTATTACTGTCGATCAAAATATGTAGTTAATGATATTTTGGAGTGCTCAAATTTAAGTGAAGATAGTTTGCTGAAATTTAAAAATATTATTCGCGAGTATTTGAAACACAAGACTAACACTTACCCACCTCTTCCCGGAATGTGTTTACAACAAACACATATTTTGCAGGGACACTTTGGGTATTGTTATTGGTTACAGGTAATACATTTTTTTGTTTTTTTTTTATGTTAATGGTTGGCATTGATATTGTATTGTATTATGTTATATTATATTATTAATGTTTCAATTTGTAGAAATATGACACATAATATTTTGGGCATGACTGTTGGGTGGGCAGGATATAAACCGACTTTAAACCCTCGAAAAAATGAACAAATATAGAATATGGCTCTATACCAGTGTACCTCTTGTGTTTACGGACCAACCGACATCGGTGTAGTTCGCTTTGTGAACTAATTCGACCAGGATGCATAGCCAATGGTAAATTTTTGGACTTTGTTCAAATTACTCTCTACAAACTTAAAACCTATAAACTTTTACAGGAACAATCTCCAAAACTTTCACAAAAATGGATCGAGTAGTTTCTGAGTCTATTAAACTACAAATTTGAATAATAAACAATTAATCATATTTTATTTTATTTTTTTAAAAATAATCCCATATCAACGCAAGTGGGTAGGTCAGTTACTCTGTATCAAATTTTTAAAATCAAAACTTTGAAATATCGAGTAGTTAAATGGATTACCTGGCCAAGCCTTAAACTTAAAAAATTACCAAAATTGTGGTGATGATCAAAACTAGCTAGCATTATAATAGTAGGTTTTTATCATACATCTTGTAATAATTAAATTATTGAAATACGTGAAATAATATGGTTATACTTACGTAAAGGAATGGCATAAATCCAGTGACATGACGGTTTTTGATATTCCTGGGAATTTTTGGGAGTGCTGCCCTCATGTTAGATGTTTTTTATTATAGCAACCTAAAACCTAATATTACTCTAAGCCGAGCTTCACTCCTAGCTGTTTTGTAAACACTTTAAATTGAAGCATTGAATTTCTCATTTTCCCATAGTAATAATAATAATAATAATAATAATAATAATAATAATAAAATCATCCATCAGTTCTTAAGTGAATAAAACGAGACGAGCTGCTTCCGTAATATGAAAGTCTGTGATCAAACAATACAACACTATAACAACGTCACCAATCCATAACAGAATCGGTGACCTGTTAATTTTATTTTCTGTCTTAGAACTATTGTAAGGTAGCAATAAATATATATACATTTTATTTTATTTTACCTTAAATTTAGGTCACTACTACAGACGACGATAAGAATTATTATAGAAATTCAAACTTAAGCTCTCGTTAATACACACATAATAAGGAAGTAACCGATAACTGCGCTTTTCTACTCTATTCAATGCTGATGCACTATGCATTTGATTTTCAATAATGTTTTCGTTATTGAAAAAAGTTACGGATTTAATAATTGTATTCTACCAATTAAGATCGCCACAGTGATAACTGCGATATTTTAGTTTTAGATTTTATAAACAAATAATACTATTTTAATTTTAATTATAACATAATCATACTTCTTACGACGAACAGCAGCGACAGGGAAATACTGCTATACTAATTAAAAAATAAAGGCTGAAAATCGTAACAATTGTTGTTAGTCCTTAATATTTTCAAACATGCCGTGAGCCCGTACGTTTTAAGTTTAGACAAATTTATTTGGTAAATGTATCTAAATAAAACCTTTTTTTTTAACTAGTTAAATTGAATTGTTATCGTTTAAAATTTTAAAAACAGTAACAACATCGCATGGTAACCATTGAATTTAAGGAGACAAAATATATTACTCTTTGAGAAATAATTATGATAACAGTTATATTTGTGTTATAATTAAAATTAATTTATGCAATTGTAGATTTTCAATTAATTTTTGAATTTTTGAATCTATTATAATTGTTTTTTAATCAAATATTCTTGCTAATTAATCTCACTTAGAAGGAGTATGCCATCATATGTGTACGTCACCAAGGATATAACGTTTAACAACATTTATAATTTTTAGTTTAATAGAAAAATCAAAAAACAAACAAGAGCACATTTATAGGAAATACCTTTTTTTAGAGACGTGTTAAGCCTACAAATAGCTTAGGTTTCAAAAATGTAATCTGGTTTTGCTTGGGTTTGCCAACAATCTAATTGGGTTCAAGTTAATACAAATAATAAACTAAAGTCAAGTTAAACTAAGTGAACACAAGACCGTCAAGTTAGACGATGATACTTAATAACTTTTAATCAATTTGACTCTTCTAGTTTAAAACTAATATACGAATAAGACATTCACTTAAGTCAGTTGAATTAAATTAAATAAAAAATATCGACTTTTGTAATTAGTACGTGAATCACGTAAAGAGTTAATCTCGTACCTATATCTGTTTAATATTGATATATTTCATCGGAAAACATAACGTAATTCAAAAAAAAAAAAAATCCGTGTAATCGAGACTTCGTCGCATAATATTATACTACAAACTATGAAATGACTGCCGTTTAGTATTCTCTCTTTTAAACTTGTCTCGTTTCAGATTTACTGGCACCACCTAGGGCCGGGTCGGCAAGGTCGAGCCTGAGCGAAATGTCTGGAGCCAGCGGTACTTCAACGGGAACCTATCTGAACGAAGCGTCGACGCTGGTGTTGGAGACGACGGAAAACAACTTGAAAAAGTGAGTTCGCCATTAAGCGATGTGTTGGCGTGTGTGTGTGTTTTCCATTTGTTCGCCATTAAATGCACTACCGTAGTTGTGTGAATCGCCATCTCAGTGTTTGCATTTCATTAAAATAATATAAATCATTGCAAACAACGCTGTGCTATTAAGCCAATAATTGCTGAAGTCCCGCATTCAGCAGAACAGTTTATGATTTTGTGAAAATATCAGCAACAACGTCACCGAACACACGATAAACCGGAATTGTATAGTGCATTTTTAGTGATTTTTGGAAATCGACAGAGACTTTCTCTAAAACCAAAAAACCAAAATGAGAATCGGTAGACTATTAAATAGTGTTATCACCGGATAGTATTAACTTCAGTGTTGGGACCAATACCGTTTTCATCAGTGTTTTGATTTAGATAATATTTGAGAGGATAAAATACGGACATATTATCTGCTTTAAAACTAGACAGATCCAACAACTTGTACAAGAAATCTAACGCACATGGAGCTGTCTGCTTTTTTCCCGATGCTAGATAGGTCCAAGAGAGTTTAATAATGAATTCAAATAATGAATATTTATAATATGTTCCGGTCAAAATACTAGATAACTCGAACTTTTACGATTTTTTTTTTATTTCCACGAACGTTTTTAAAAACGGAATCGTTTAGGTTTTGCACGGATCCTCCAATTTTGACTCCTCAAGAATACGCACTCTCTTATTGATAATTTAAAAATTCGGCAGTATTTGGTAATTACCGTATTAATAGTGATAATAATTATCAAATGATATAAAAATAACAAAAAGTTACAAAAACAAATAAATCGAAATTTTTCTTTTTGAAATATCTATTTTGAAATCGGTTTCGATGTTGTGACGTAGGTGCAATGACTTAATGACATCGTGTAGTTATGGTTGTATTTGTTTTATGAAGATGTATAAGCCACTACTATATTAATTGATGTTGACGATTCGTTCGGGTTTCATACACTAAACATGAATATTTTCAAAATGTCCTCTCCCAAAAAATCATTTTTTTTTTTTAAGAGTTTCACATCAGTAAAATATTTCATGAAATTTGAAAACTATAATGTTATTAATATTACACTCGTTCGACGTTGTTCTAAAATCTACCGGAAACATTACAGCATTCGTGGTAGTATCTATATATAGGTCAGGCGGAGGAGAGCAAGTCCGGGCTACGAGTGAATTAAAACAACAATAGAGGCACAATAGATATTACCTTTAACGACATCGTTTGGAATGGCGTATAAACATATTAGTAGTAACGACGTGACGTCCGAGTCTCGGGAAAATCGACTTACATTAATAGGCTATTTAAATGGATATTACGACGAGATACTGTAATAATGACGTGCAATTTCAGAACGGTTTGTAAAAATACCAATAGGCAATAACCCAAACAAAATGAATGTATTTAATTATCCCAAAACTTTTCGACACATTTTAAAAATATCATCCTATATTTAAAAGTCACTTGTGTAATTTAGAAAATATGTCATAGAATTAAATTCAATTTTTTTTTTAAATTTTTGCTTTTTATCAACTCCGTTTACAATGTTACGCCAGCTTCAATAATGACCTATTTTAAACGGCCCCTTATCGGTCGTTGTGTTGTGTGATACGTATTATAGTAGTCAATGTTCGCCTGACAAAAAAAAAAAAATCTGACTCGTTATATTTTATAATTACTGCAGACAACGTAATATAACACTAAAAAAATCACAAAACACGCAAGCTCTTATGCTTTTATAATTATGGATTTTGTCTTGCCGCTTTGTTAATAAATATTTACAAAATATATCTAAATTAAGTAGGTACTAAGAGATAATATGAGAATAAAATAAGTGACGGGGAATACCTGAGACCGGCATCCATGTACATTGTACACTATACTACATTTAAATACTGAATCGAACCACAGCGGAAAATTTCAAATAATAAAAATTTGAAGACAGGATTGGATTTGTCGAGACATGAAATATAATATTTGTTTCTATCCGGCCTTTCATCTAGGATTATGCAAAACGAAAAAAAAAACGAATACACCAGAAGTTCTCTTTCTAGCAATCTATTTACAATCAATAATCAATAAGATGTTCACTAATATTTCAAGTTGAATGATTGAGTGCAATGAAGTATTTTTTAACAGTTTATTCTTAGCTGGTTTTGTCGCATACATTCCTTGGTGTGTTGGTGGGACATACGCGAAACGCATGCAATTAATATTAATAAGACCTGAAATGACTTCTGGACTCAGTGATTATGAGAATATTAATATTTTGATGTGGTAATGATATTATTATTATACTAATGTTAATATTAGTATATTACCTTGTTACTGCGCTCCTGTATAATACAATATTATAATATAGGTTTCAAATTTTTCACATATTGCACTGTAGGTTTTCATATATTTTATGCTATTTCAACGAACTCAATGGTTGTCCTAACAACATAACAATATTAATATTATTATGAGATACGGCCGCCGGAAAAGTATTGCATCTCTTTAGCGTGGAGTCGCCGGCGGAGGTGTAGCTGAATTGCCTACCTGGAGCGCCGTGCTAACACAATATTTCGATGTCTCTCCGTCCGTATCAAATTATAACAATAATAATAATAAGGTCTGAGGACTTTTGGTTTTTTTCATATTATTTGTCTTTGTCTAAAAAGGTTGCTGAAGAGAGAAGAGAGTGATTGATGGATCAATATGTTTCATGTACGAGTAGCTTATGTTAACATTTTTATTTTTCATATTTTCACACAATATTTTGAGTTGTTTTTTAAGTAACCAATTCAATAATTAATAAATGAGCCTTGTAGATATATATCAAATTTGTTATATTTTATATATTATATTTTTACTGAATATTTTTTGTTTTCAAATGTACAAATTGCAGGAAAACATTTTGAGGTTCATGAGTACTAAAATAACTTAATTTTAATCCCTTATTAAGCGCTTAATCATAATAAAAAAAAACTGACAATATTATCACTATTGTCATGATAATTATTTGCGCTTAAATAATAATTGATACGATAGTCCCGTATTTTTCGAATTGTCCAAGTTTTTCGTACTCTCTACATTATAATATAGTTATTAGTTAGGTATGTAGGTCAGGTGCTTAGTGTTGTTAATATTATTACTATTATTAAAGACAGGTTTGCAAAGATGGTATTAAGGGGTAATATTTTTTTAGACGAACCTCGGGTCATACTTTTTTATAAAAACATGTCATATGAGTTTGCGTTGACTAGGACAAGCTGTGATAGGGTTGGCTCTAGATAAGATGCTGATGACCAAAAAAAGTACCTTCAATGAGCATAAAAACTGTAAAAAAATAACAATAACAATTTACCTGAAAATTGTCATGCTGACTTAAAAAACGTATAAAAAAATCATTTTAAGTGTACAATTAATATAATTATTGTGATTTGCTTACAAATTTAAAAAATGAATACAAAACAAATAGCCAACAGGTACAAGCTACGGTTTGATGATGAATTTGGACAGAGTTGTATTGTGTCTTGTACTCTTATCGAATAAGTTATAATGTTATATTATAAATTATAATATATTGTTTGATTGGTATAGACCAGCCTACCTACACGTCGAAATATCTGTAAAAGCATAGTATGTAGTATGATTGGAGTTCTGAATATGAAATATTTCAATGAAATAATGAAAATTTATTTTGTTATAGATGATTAGAAATTATTACTGATTATACTTAGAAAATAACGATTATAAATCAACTGAGGTTTACGAAAAATTACTTTGTTAATTGTTACCGAATAGGTATAAATGGTATTAAATTATCGGTTACTTTACAACTTATCAATTGGATCATTGTTTTCTGCTAATTATTGGTATTCGATACAATGCACCAACTTTAACAAAATGTTCTCTTTCTTTTAATGTTTGGTTAGGTTTTGGATTTTTTTTTGCACATATATAAAAATTTGAAAAAAAATAATTTCAAGAAGTTGTAGAACCCCTGCTATAACAAGTTAACACATTTACTTACTAATCGTTGCAGAACCTCGTTGCATGAAATTTGTTTTAAAAAAATTAAAAAAAATTACCCTTATAGTTTACAAATTTAATACACACTTTATGCTACAAGGGATTAATAATTATTAATGCGGACAATTTTAAAAATCGTATGATTTAATAACGATAAAATCGATGTAAAAAAGAAAACTGCATTCGTAACTAAAAACGCCTTATAATGAAAAATCAAAGGTTTACATTCAGCGAATTCGAGAAGGCCCGAAACGAGTCTACAGCTAAGAGAGCACCGTACAGAAGGAAACAAATGCATAATGAATCAACAACTTACGTCTAATGATTATCATAAACACCATCGTCATCGTCGTCTTCGACTGCACACACACCCTTGCAACTGTAAAAGTCGAGTGTCGTGTACCTACCCGTGTTTGAACAATATTATATGGGTGTACATGTGCATATTTTTTTCATATTTTCTATAATATGTGTAAAAAACAGGACGACAATGTGCTAAACGTAAACGCTAGACCGCTTGGAAGCTTCGTGTTTGAAATCTCACATAAACTCGCACTACGATGATATTATACTTTTTGTTTAATAATAATAATAATATTATTGTGCTTAGAAATTGAAGATTAATGTACTGCCCATCATTGGCAAGATAAAAAAAAAACGAGACGTAAAATCGATAATTTTGATTAGAGTGCTTATAATATATTTCAAATATCCGTAAACATTGTGAAACGTCATCTGAGAAATCAGAACTATCAAAATCGTATTTTTTTCAGTGATTTTCAAAAATGTGTCGAAATCGAAATGCGTTTCAATCGATAATTTATGACGAAATAATAATCTTATACAACGTGTGAGTATAAATAAATCGATTTAAAGTTTAATAAAAAATTGGCTTGGGATTTAATAGAATTTGAATGATAAATATCTTTCAAAATTCTCGAAGCACGGTTAGAGTAAGCTTTAATGCGTTTCGTGACTCAGAGATTTGAAATTAATAATTTAATTTAGATTATTTCGTCATATTTTTCGATGTTTTTAGATAATCGTTCAATTTTTGGACTTGCTGACGTGACGCGACGTTCATAATTTTCTTTTAATCTTAAATTTTGATTGTCTGCTGAATCGTTAGAGCGATGTCCACATTTTTTATTTAATATTTTTATACAAAATGACAAAAACAGTAATTGGATATGTCTATGTACCTAGTTTCTTATGGTTTTTAAATAATATTGGAACTGCATTTTTATCAAAAAAAAAGTATGTTGGGACGCACTTAGTTTAAAAAATCTATTTCTCCTAATTATTTCCCTGGAGACCTTGACCACCCGAATGACTTCGACTACCAACACATTGTACGGGAGGCGTTCGATTTCAGTTTCGAAATTGACGTAAAGCTTTTTCAAGTGCCACCCCCTTTCAAGTAGCTATATTATAATATGCTCTCTGGTTCAGACCGAGTGCGTGGCGCCAAACTGACCCATTTTTCCAATTTTTATGCCTCACATTGTACGATTTTTTCAACATATTATGTTTATTTATTATAAATATACAACCGAAGTATAGCGTAAAATGATAATGTTTTTAACAACTCTTACTATACCGACGATGATGGACAAATTAAAAAAAAAAAGATTTGTTCTCAGCCAGTGGGGGCGTGACAATCGAATAGCAATGAATTAAAAATATTTTTTTAAAGTAAATTTAGTGTGTATTGAGTTATAGCTAATTATAAAGTGTACTGTTAAAAACTAAGTGTATACCTATAATATGTATATTTATAATTTGGTCATCTTTCATAGTTTATTCTTCGTCGAACAGTTTAATATTTAAATAATTCAAGTTGTAACAGAATTATCTAACAAACTAAATTGTATTTGTACTAGTCAATACTTTTATTAATTTTTTTTTTTATTTCAATAATTCATAGACGCTTGTGCTAAGCCTACAAGTACGATATACAAATTTTATATTTTATACTGAAAAAAAAATAATACAATTTAATAAATAGTAAATTTGTAGTAAAATATATTGATATTAAAACCGGTTAGTTAGTTAAGTCAACTAGTATATTATTTAATTTTTTTTTCGAAATCGCAATATCTTTTGGGAGTAAATTCATATTTATTTTGTAAAATAATAACGCTTTTAAAAATACTATTTCTGGAAAGTGTCAGACATGAGTAAATCTTAAATTAAATTTTTCGTTCATGCGTTTAAAATGTTTTTAATTTCTAATTTTTAATTGATCAGGTATTTCCGTTACACACTGGTTGCATAATCACAATATATGTGTGTGTACGTAAACACGAATCTAAAAGGTTTTTGTTTCGTTACAGGCATTATTTGGTTCCGTTCACTCAAGCCAAGAAAAGCAAGTGGAAGAGGGCTGGAGTTAAACTGCACATATACAACGATCACACGTTTGTAGCCAAACACTTGTCCAGGTACGTTTATCACTATTCATTTACCTACCTGAGTGTCCACCATTAAAATCTTGACTCTAAGATGTTCGCAATCGACCCACGTGACTATAATGCATGGCAATCCCTACTGTGTTCGAGCATCGCACTCCTGGAAATGTCAAAGATTTTACGTTTGAAAGTTCACTCGAGTTCGACGCACTACTGTTAGTCAACGCTAACGGCGATTTATTTTAATGTTTACACTGGTTTTCTAGAAAAGTATAAGCGTCTTTGCAAGTATATTTATTTTCATCACGCCTGCACCAAAAGTTAAACTTTCGATATCGGTCCTAAAATCTGACCTAACCGTCGGGAAATTCGCGTTTTTCCGTCCAGCCGTCGAAATCACATCGATATCATACGTAAAAACGAATCTATACGTCTCGCATCTGTTCTGCTCCCGTGCAGTTCTGTGAAACAGTTTATGTATAGGTGCACAGATCGGCTAGAGTATTGTACAACAAGTCACGTGAAAAAAAACACTGAGGATAGCCAGTTCAAAAAAATTACGTAAGTCACCTAGGTGCATCGTATACCGTCCGGACGATTGGACAATTGTGACTATAATAATATTATTAGTGATACCCGCGTTTATTATGACGGTTGGACAGACCGACGGTGTCGCGGAGCTGACTAATGACAATAATAATATAATATAATATAATATAATATAGTTCATTGAACTGACGTGAGTTTTTTTTCGTTTGCAAAATTTGTTCGCGTCCGTGCCACAGCCGCCTCAATTGCTTGGTGTGCGCGAAATACTTCCCGAGGCGTATCGGCAAACAGGGATACGAGTGCAGGGATTGTCTGATCAAATGCCACAAGGAATGTCACGTCAAGGTGTCGGTGGTGTGCACCAATTCAAAAATTCATAATATCGACCTGTGAGTACCAATATTATGTACCAACTTATGTACCTAAAACACTACCATGATTGACGGTACCTATCGTTACGTTGCGACGACCGTTGGTACACCATTTTATGCGTACTAGAGTACGTGTGTGATGCGACGGCAGTGGTCGATGAGGATTATGATTTTGCAAGGATTGCGTCGTCCGTGCGTGTCCTGTACGTGTGCCAAGGCACTTCACCGTTTTACCGAAATTCAGTGTGAAAATGCGAAAACTCAAAGACCTTTTCCTTTCCCTTATCGCGTTCGTGTAATGCAGAACTTTTTGACATTATTAATGCCGTGTCTTCAAAGATCGCGTCTTTTGGCTATGTGTCTCCGTGACAGGAACGCGTGATACGTTCATTTTGTCACACTCGATGACGACGGTGACATTGTCACTCGTTACTATATTTTATGAGCATTATGCACCAAAAGCGTAAATAGGGTAGGTATATGACGTATAATAAATTATGAAGTTGGCAACAGCACTTGGTGCTACAACCTCAAAACGTATGTTAGTATTCCGCCGGGTACAGACTTTCTTCGCCGTTTTCAGAATTTTCCACTTACCCAATCGGCTACGAGCCGGAAACAAACATGCCAGTGTGCTATCTTTGCATTTATCAAGCAATCCGAAATGGGTAAACAGTATTGCTACGAATATCCATCGGTAAAAATCAGATGAAATTAAATTCTAAAAATAGCATAGTCATTTTCGGATGCATCCATTTCGAATTCCTTAACAAAGTGCTGATGCTACGATATTTTCTATTTTCTGTGATTCCGGAAAAACCTTGCGAAATTAAATTGTATAAATCTCATAGCTATATGTTGATACCCAATGAGACGAGATTGGACAGGAGTTATTGTTTCTGGAGTGCAACAAAAACAATGCTAATATCAAATTCTGTTAATAACGTAGTGAAATGAAGAGAATTAGTAGAACTTTAATATTGACGTATGTCTTCTGACAGTTGAGCATTGAGTGCCGGAGCCGACTCGACGGACTTTCATTATACAATATTATGATCGTATTTTCTCGGATTCGAAAGACATTATCATGAATCAAAGTCCTCCTCGCCGAGGGAAAGTTTCCTTATACGTCTGCGATGTTAGTGGTGCATTACCATGACCAGAGACCGGGAGATTCGTGTAGTAGTAATTTTGTTGAGTTAATATCCATGTCATTATATTTCGAGTGTGTGCATAATAATAATTTATTTATGTTTTGAAAAAATACCAGCCTTCTGAAGTTTTAATAACATTGGTACTCAATCGTTAGTGTCCCGTTTTAATGCGCAACGAATAACAACCAAGTTATATATTTTGTTTTAATACGCAATAGGCTATTTTGAAACTCTGATAGTTTCGTCAATTTAAATATTAATAAACTCATTATAAAGTTATACAAGAATATAGCTAAATTACACAAAAATAGGTACACTACCTTATCATATGTGACATGTAATAATAATAATATCATCATGCCCATTACTGTTTGAATTGTTTGTAGTTTCGTTTTATTATTTTCGTCAACGTATTTATTTTTATTTCCCAAAGCATTTCGTAAATAAATGGGAGTAGATACTCAATCCAATTGATTACGTTCGAATTATATTTATTTATTTTGAAAATAATAAAAATCAAAGGACGATAACCTCTAGAAAATGTAATGAATTAAATCTTGAATGTCTTTTACCAGACCAATAATTCAATTGGGTATCGCCAAAAGAAGAAATATAATATGTAATATTAAAGTAAAATATACTCTCTGTACACCCACAAAGAGCTTTTAGATTTTCGTCTAATTAACTCAGTGCACTTAGTTTTGTACTTGAACCATGTATATTTTATTAAAAATATACTTAAATCATACTTTCCTTTATGAAATATTAAAATTGTTTATTTGATTAACTTTTAACGTGTTCTATTACAACGGTTTTCAATTATAATTTATTTCGTAACTGACGTACAGATATAAATACAACAATATCCTTGGCAAAACAATGATAGCCACCTATTCGAATTAACAAGATAGTATCAATTTTTATAAAAAAAAATAACCATGTTTGGTTTCCTGAGTTAAGTAGAGGCATCTAAATTTTCTTAGTTATAGATAGCTATCGAACGAACATTTCATTATCAGGCAATAACCGATTAAAAAAAAAAAAAAAATGCTTGCATCGTGTCCAGTATTATTGAGACAGATTTCCAAAATAGAGTGATAAAAAATGCGGCCTATGATCGACCACATGGATACGAAATCTGTCATTATTCTTATCACCTATTGAATATTGTGATTACGGTTTTAAAATTTCATTTTAATGAAAAATAAAAAATAAAAATATTGATTGAAATAATTGAAAATAATGGGGTTTAGATTTTGATATTCATTTTTAGACCTATTTACAAGTACACCAGAAAAAATTGACAAAATAAGAAACAAGTAATAGCCCGTCCATATAAGAAATTAATGCTGGGAAATAGACGTCTATATTTATTTAATAATCATATATTCGTACATTGTACGACGCAAACACGATACTCTCCCCAGTCCCTAACGACGTTCATATATTATAATTTATAATATTATATAAACAAAGAATTTATAATATTTGGTGTATTTACATTTTTTTCATAAAATATTGTCAGGACTATTTTTCAGCACTACAAATAAAATATACCTACAAGCATGAAATAATTAATCAACAATATTTATATTTTACTAAGTTTATTCTTTGACTCTTTTGAAAATGTAAACATTTACCTCTTAGATAAGAGAATTTCGGTCATTTTGTGAGCTTCAAAATCATTTCCAAGTCGGCTATCTAGTATTTTTATATACCCGTGTAGTTCGCTTACCATGGTTGATATAAATTACAAGTGATAAGTTATTCATCATCAATATTTTCTGTGTATAATCAATATATTATTTTATTTATAATCATCTACCATCGAACACGTTTTAAAGAAGAAAAAATATTTTTCAATATTTCATTGAAATATTTCAAGGATAGTGAAATTTTCAAATTCAGAACCCTAATTATTGTGATACACGGAAGACGTCGCGGTATTGTAGTACTCAGCTGCGGTATACAGGCGCCGTCACGCCTAGGGCCGATCGCCCTTAGCCATTAAACCTTTTTTTGTATTATATTGTTTTTTATTTTTTTTTTTCAGGAATAACTTAACGGTATTGCCATCGATATCGGCATAGTGACGAGGCAGCCAGCCGCGTCGGATGTGTCTCACGTCATCGTCCGTTCACGTTCACGTGCACCTCCTCCACCCGCTAATAATTTCGTAACAATATTCATTGATGATGTCATACATATTATTATCAGAGCATAATTGCACCACATTGTTTTGTACCCATAAGATAACCTTATTATATTTGTGTACATCGACCATAGCAGCGTTGTTATAAATATATCGCAGGAGCACAACCGTATAAAAACATATTACGAAAACCGGGCGGTCGATACCTACGCTCGCGACATTATATCCGACGCACACATGTTTTAAACCTCGGAGGCGACGACAACAGCGATAGTCGTGGCGATACTAAAACAACGACGATAACAATAATAATAATAATTATAATGATAACAGTAGTGCCTAATTCAAAAAGTAGTATTTATTTCGCTTAAACTTCAACAGCTCGTATCTCAGTTTTGTTTTAGTTTCTTAACACGATCGGAACACATACCGAGGAGCATTTAAATCATATTTTATTCTCAACGAACGCAATGCACTGGTAACGTCCGTCGAGTTCTAATATTATATTCTGCGCAAAAAAATTGTGCATTTCCAAACAAATATTTTAGTTGAAATCGAAATATGTTACACGAGACGCTTGTAGTGACAAAAACAATGACATTAACGAGATAGGCTGTTTTAATAAATCGCTATGTATGGATTTTAAAATAGTAAGTCTTTAAAATCAATTTGTTTTCCCTTTGAACTAACAAAACGAAACACATTTTGACATTGGCGGGCACCACACGTTTAAGTGCCACGCGACAATTATTCTCAACAACCATTCATCGCGCTTAATAATAGGTATATTATTATTGGTCGCGTTCATCGGCCTATGTACTGCGGACCACTCATTCCACCCCACACACACACACACACACACAACCGAGAGAGGAAGAATAATATAAAGTAGTGGATGGCGGAGGAAGCACTACACTTTGTTTTCCGTCCGTTTCCTTTATTAACCATACTAACATATTACCGTGCATAAAAGTCGGCCATACGCAGTTTATCACGTCATAAATAAAACATATTAACGAGGTTTGTCGCAACACGATTTTTCATTTTATAGGCGGACACTGCGTGTTTAACAGTTTCAGTCTCTTTTCTCGCTCACGTCGATCGACATTTCTCTCTCTCTCTCTCTCTCTCTCTCATCCCTGTCCACGGGTTGTAAGCATACAGTCCAGATACGTCGTGTTGATGCGCAATAGACCTTAATATGCTCATAGACCGAACGCGGTGAAAGGTGGCTGCGCTGCACTTTCGTTTCACACTTCTGCGCACGAGCGAATGACGAAATAGGTAGTGTTTAGAATATGACGTGTTATTGTGACGGTAATTATTATCGTGCCGTATTCTGGTCATAGACGTTATAATATTATAGCATAGTTTTCTACTACAAAAACTGTTCGGACTGCGGTGTTCTTATTTTGATTTAGTTCGTTTTGATTTGGTATGATAAACACTAAATGAAGTAAAATATAATTTATAAAACCGCATAATATTATATGGTAATATTGTTAACAACAATATTTTTGGTCGCCGCAGCTGGCAAGCCAGGAATGACCGCACTACCCGTCTATGAGCACAAGGTCTATGGTTGATACAAGGTTTTGATAAATGCGTTGTTGTCGTTTTCTCAAGCTATACAGTGTAACCACACAAGTTACCAAAAAATAAAAATAAAAATAAAAATACACGGGACAAAACATTTTCGGAAACATTTTTACCGCGAATGACGATATAGTAATCATAATTCGTAAAATGTTGAGATACCGGCTGTTGCAGTATATAAGCGACATGGTGAGAGGTGACACCTAACTAAATTATTTAGAAGTAGTAACATCGACACGGCGAGACGTGGACGAGGAAGAAAGGTTGTTGATGGAGACGACTAACCTAAAGCCGCTGTCGTATGAACCGTGTAAATATATAGGTATTATTATGTTAAAGGGTAGGAAAGGGTAGGTATAGGTTATATCGTAAAATATATATTATTCGGTAGGTAGCTGCTTTGTGCCCCGAACGTGTGTGTAAAGAAATAAACGAACAAAATATAAATAATGAACAATCCAAACATTTTTTTTTTTTTTTTTTGAGTCTATATATCACGCATTGTTATTGGCAGGCGACATTTATGCATGTGGTCATAAAACATCAATCGTGTATACAAGACTGATGAGAATAATGTTAGTTTATAATAATATAATAATCATCATCGTAATAATAATAATAATAATAATAATCATAATAATCATAATAATAATAATAATTAAAATAATATAATAATAATAATAATAATAACAATAATTTTAATATTAATTAATAATAATAATAATAATAATTGTAATAATAATGTATTAGGTATGTATTAAAAAGACTAAAGTTAAAATAAAAATCAACACTACGGTAATATACAAACACACACTTACACATAAACACGTAAACACTCTTTCACACATACACAATAAATATATAAGTTTATGCTGGGTGATTATTTTCACGGTTAACACTCGTCAGATCGAAACGTATTAATGTTTTGAAAATCATTTTTTAATTTACTGCGAATCAAGGTTTCCGTAAAATTAATAATTATTTTTTTTACCATATTTTGTCGTAAACATCATGCATTCATATTCCAAAGAAGAATATTTTTCTGGTACGTACTCCGATTACATGTATCAAAATTCTCAGCAAAATGTTCTGATTCGAATTAATATGAAACTGCAAATGTGTATCATCATTAAAAAAAGTGAAAACACTTTTACAACGACAACGATAAAAAATAGTAAACAAAATATTATACGATTTTTTTTCTCCAAATGCGTAGGTTTTGTAACCAATCAATATGACGTAAGTAGAATTTTTTTTTTTTTTGAAAAACATCGAGTTGAACTTTACAAAATGATGATGAGTGTTCACTGCCAAAAGAACAATCACCCCTTTTATTATTGTATAATATATTTTTATACGTATGCAGACATTTATATTATGTAGATATATAAACCGGTAAAGTAACATCATAATAATTATTATATTACTTACCGATAATTATAATTCATCTAAGCTACATTTTTGGTGCTTAAAAAATTTTCACCTAACTTCGTCGGTTAGCGACAATATTCAACAACGTCACTAGGTAAACATCGTCTTACATTGTCGTTTTTTTTGTTTTTGTTTTGTATTGTAATATGTTTTTTTTTCACACTTAAAAATTAATAATAACGCTATATTATATATATTATTTCCGTTATTAATATTAATATTCGTTGAAAACAAAAATAATATAATATGATTTCCCTTATCTAGTTTTTAAATATTTGTTAATAATATTATTATATAATTCATATATTATGTAATTTTATCAAATGCAGAAAAATATTGTTGTAATAAATATTATGTATTATTATTTTTTGTTCCATTATTCATACGGTATAATATAATATTATTTAAAAAATCAAAAAAAAAAATCAAAATAAACAAATAAAATTGAATGAAAACTTCATAACACACTCGCCTTATAATAATAATATATAGTTTAATAATAATAATAATAATAATAATAATAATAGTAATAATAAAAATAATAATAATAATAATAATAATAATAATAATAATAATAATAATGTCAATTATATCGATAATAATTTAATTATTCCGGTTTCAATCGGTGCCAATATTCCACGCTCTGCTTCGGTTTGCTTAGCATGTCCTTCCAGTGCTGAGCCTCCAGCTGTCCAGTCGCGTTTTTGTTGGCTGACAAAAATACATCATACGTACCCATTATAATATGTGCAACAGACGATTGGGTAGGGGTTGGGTTAGGGAAGATTGGAAATTCCACAGGTATACAGAGGGGCGTTACTAAAGAGGCAAGACGGCCTTAGCCTCCTGTATAATTGTTCAACCCCTCCCCACTTGAAATTTAAGCTGAGTCGTAGAGAAAAAAAATATATTTAAATTGTTCAATTTGGATACCAATAGTGAAAAATGAGTAATTATAAAATAAAATAATATTTTCTATGTAAATGATTAGTGGTTATTACAGTTTTTGTAGTAACGCACGACAATAAATGTACCTCAATCAAAGAATAAATAATTTTCTATCATGAAGAAAATCATCACGTACGCCTTGAGGTTGCAAAATAGGTTCAGCTTCAATCATTTAGCTACAATACTATGCAATTGGATATATAGTGAGATTAATGGTAATAATGATATTTTAAAAGTATAAAGTTATGAGTTATAAGTCGTAAAATATTAAATGTACTTAAATACCGAAGGATAAAAAGTGTCATGTACCTATTTTTTATCGTTTACATTTCATTTTCAGAATTTTTTTTGTAAGCCACCTGCATGGGGCCTGCATTTTACGAATTATTTAAAAATTTGGTTTTCAGAACTCTAGCAATTTAAGCTACTGAATCCTAGTTACCTCCATGAACTACAGTTTACTAAAAGTGTGGGTGATTATGATATATCATGCGAAAACCATGCGTTGTTAATATCGAGTGAGTGCGTTTATATATTTCGATTACAGACAGGTTTCACCCGTCAAATGCTTTTTTTTTTTTGGTAACTACAAATTCTTAAATGAGTGGTATATATTGGTTTAAATAACGGTACAATTTTCGGTGTGAAAAAATATTAAAAACGAATTTGGTGCGATTCCGGCCGCAGTGAAAGAAAAAAATAGATCTTTGAATATTGCGTTGCCAGGAAAACCTGAATCCACGCTACCGATGACACGAGTGGCAATTGGCTGTACAAAAATCAATAAAAGATACGAGTACGAAATAAAATAAAAATGTTGAATGGACGACCGGTTTGAATGGGGTTAGTGGTGTTTGCCTAAACCGGCTAGAGCCTGTCGCAGTATGAATAAAAATATTATTGAACTTTCAGAGCGACGGACTGAAAGTACGGCCTTGATATTAAAAATATTACGCATGAACGACCGTCACCGTCGGTACACCAAACTAGGTTTTAAGGATATCCGGCTAAGACATATCGGTTTCCTACCGTTTACCTGCAGTAACATCCATCACACTATTATGGATAGCTAATGATTAGAACAAATATTGCTGTATTTTTTATGTGATCGAGGATAATGCGGATTCCAAGTACATAGTTCGTTTCGTGTAACAGGTACCTACGTCAAAGGAGACATTTTTATTTTGCATGTTTGCAATTATTTGTTTATAATTTTCAGGCCATTGTATTCATTCTGAATGACTATAGAAATACATTGTTCGAGCTTTTAGTATAGATTGAAGTACGTTCGTACGCGTTACACGTCAAAAGATATTTATCAGAAAAATGTAGGAAGAGTTAGTTTCGGTACTCGTGGCCACCATTGTAAGTAAACCGCTCGATTGTTGTGGCAGCAACGGCACAATTATATTATGTATTAAAATATTTCTAATAACATATTATAATAATATTTGCCGATGGTCGGGGATTGCGCATTGGCGCACACACTCACATGATATTGTTATCTTGCCGATGAGTTCGTTGCGACCAATGTTGTCAAAGTCCATGACCATCACCTCCAAAGCCGCTTCCCTCAACTGTTCCACAGGCAACGTGTACTCGAATTTCTCGTCAAAAATCGGATTCAAATTGCATTTGAAAACCATGCTCTTGCGCTTCTCCACCTTTTTGTCACCAACGTGCAGCCACACTTTCACGTACGGATCTGAAAACAACCGAACAACATCGAATCAGTTAGGTCGTAATATTATTGGCATGGGTGCGTATTATACTAATCGAGCTGTGATATCAGATTATACTAGCTCTCCATTTGTTTATTTCATAGACATAATTTTTGTAAACATTTCTACTAATTATAATATATGGTAATACATAATACCCAGACCTTTGATCAACAAGGGCCAAACTCGCTTTCCGGTGAAGATGGGATAAAGGGACTAACACGCACTATAACTACATTTATATATGAGCATATAGGCTTGCGTAGCGAAGGTATACAAGTCCACCACCTGTGGCCGGTTGTTCATCACAAACATTGTAAATTATAAAAGTCCTGTGTTAGGTAGTAAAATCGAGCATCCTTTGCAAATTATCGAAATGTAATAAACAAAAATATCATTTTATATATTTTGTATTTTATCAATATTATAGTAGGTATATTGGAATATTTATAGTCATAGATAATAAAATAATGGATAGGCCATTAATATATCTGTAAAACGCGGAGTATCGGGACTGTAATGGAGAATATATACAGACTGTTTTTTTTGCCACCCATGCCAAAAATAATATTGTTGATGTCAAAAAAATTGTTTCGCATAAAGTGAATTGATTAAGCCAATTTACAATATAAGTATTTGAAACCACTTTTACAACCGTAGATGTACGTAATATTGTATTTCGGCTTTTTCTTTCAAATTTGACATAATTGATGGTGTCACTGCAATTGTCATATCATCATAATGTAACTCAATTTTTCGTTTGATATTTTATTATACGGTTTTGGTGCCTTGGGGGATTACAATATTCACTTTAAATTCATAATAAATAATAGCCAGAGTATAATTTATTTGTTTCATACAAATAGGAAATTAAAAAAAAAAACAATGTTCAATTTGTTGAAACGATGTATTTTTAATGCGAAACCACGACAAACACATCCAATATTTTTTATGAGAAAAACATCTGGATTGATGTCTAAATTCATGTGAGATAAATGATTTAAAGGAGTTCACTATTCTCGAAAAATTCCTCAGCACACCTGTGTGCATACCAGTATTAAGGTACCTATAGGAGTTGAAAAAATAAGATGAAAACACCTTCCGAGTCTCAACGAGTCTATTGGTATAACTTTTATTGAAAACGGTCAAGAAGTTTTTGAATATCAAGCTATGTAACAAATAAACAGATATACAGACAGACATCTATTTTCATATTTTATGGGACATCAACACTGTCAGGGAATTTTAAAG